TACTGGGCATGAGAATAAAGGATTATTTCCCCCTGTACAGCAATAGATTTGTCTGCATCTATGCCTCTTATGACGTCACGTTTAGCCACACCCACCGACAGGAAGTAACATTGAAGCAAGCAAAATGAGCATATTTGAAGGCTCATATCTTAGTGAATAATTTTTTTAGACAATGGGAGTTGGAACACATCATTATTATGGTCAGGCAATCATATTAAGACCATAAAATAAATACCCTAAAAATACATTGCAGTTACCCTTTTATTTTCAGTATACATGTAGTCTTGTATACACTGTACATGTATTTCATTGCATATTTTAATTAAACTAAAATGTCAGTTTCCATATATGCAACAACAAAGAATGATAATTAATAGCACCTTTCATGGTTAAGTAATTTGCATGTACAAGCACTCAGCACTGTATATTTTAGGCTTCCATAAAATAAGTACATGTACTTTCAAAAAATGACAATTAAAACTTTCTGTCAATTATTGCATACACGTACATGTACTTTTTTAGCTTATTACTAGGGCTGAAACGAATAGTATTTTTCACTATTCGAATAATTGGCATGCTAAACGAACGAATATTCGAATAATTGAACTGTTATTGTTGAATGATTATAAACTACCTTTTTGGTGTTAAACTTTTCAAAATGATGCCAAACAGGGCTTCTTAGAGATTGAGAACCACTTTCCCTGGCCACAGCAGCAGTATTTAGCAAGTTGGTAAGTAAACAGACCAAGAAACAGACTAAGAAAGCAGCCTGTGCAGGTGACACGCGTTGGGCGTGGTCGTTAATTATTGCAATAACCATTAATAATTTTATTAGGCGAATAGTTCGAATAGTAAAAAAACTATTCAAATATTGCTTTAACGAATGAATATTCGAATATCTCACTATTCGTTTCAGCCCTACTTATTACCATGAGAAAAATTGATAGTACAGTGCAAATAGATGTGCAGATAAACACACAACTAATGCTCGAACATGGACAGTAGCTGTAGCATACTGTAATGGCACAAAATATTGAGAATATAATGTACATGTACATAATTGATAAACACTTCCTATAAGGGTATATTCATCTGTTTTGAACATATTCATGGAGACACGTACATGAAGTTACATGTATGACAATTAAACAGATGATTAGTAGTATTTTTTTGCATTGCTTCCATGTAGAGGTCCCTAAAACATTTGGAAACCTCATTCATATCATTAACATTAAGCAAAATTATTTATTAGTAGTTTATATGCAAATATATGCATGTATATGAGCACATAAAAAGGATTTTATACTGTACTTCAATTTGCCGTTGAAAGGAGCTAATAGCTTTAAGAAGCTGAGATGTCCTTTTTGAAAGAAGACTAGCCAGTGAAATTGTAGTATGACGGCTTCGAGCATTGTCCTATTAAAAGTAAAGTTAAACTTGTACAATGAATACAACGTACATGCATACATGTACATGTAATTCCAATTGTCACATTAAAAGCATTGCTGGAACCTTTTAAGTACAGGTGTATACCTATGCAGGGAAGTACATTTAAAATGCAATTAAAAAGGTACAGGACCACACAAAATAAGTGACTTATTTCGAACAAGTGCATCATTATTCTAATCAATAACATTATGCTAATATCAGCAAGGTACCAAATAAAACACCAAGAGTTGCTCTATATACACAATAATGACAGGCTCTAATTATAACTCTAAACTAACTTTGAACTACTGTAACCAAGAGTAACTAATACATGTATAATTTTATATCATTACTGATTATAGTCACTAATGCTATTACATGTACATTGTAAATAGGTATATGTGCATACCACTGAAGCAAGTAATTCAATAGCTTCAATTAAAAGTTCCTGATGACCAATTTGAGTAACCTAAGGAAAACATTGCCAAAAATTACAGAATACAATAATAATAATGCACTAGCTAACTTTTAAGTATTCCAGTTGTGATCGAGTTAGCTTCAATAAATCAGCACCAGTAATACAATGTGCCTCAAACTGAGGGACATGAGACACTAAACACTCATTCAGTCCTACAGGTACACAATCAGCACATGTTTTATTGCTTATTAGCACAAAAGAAAGTTACACGAAGAAATGGTTGCCACTTAAGTAATAATGAATGTGATCCAAAACCATTGAATAAGTACATGTATAGTTACAAGGCCTTAGTTTATAAAAATCCACATTGTACATGTACAGCATACAATGTTGAAATATCTTAAGAAATAAAGAGATATTTCACTTGAATCACTTCTGTAGTCTAGGCTGAAAGTGAAATTGTATCAAGACTAGATACACAAATCTCACAAATACAATGTAACCGTAAGGTTTACAAAGGAGCCAAAACAGCAGGTAGTTTTGTACAAAGTACATGCACATGTACATGTAGATGCTGCCTGCCATGTGGAAGAACATCAAATGATCGAAATACAATGTAGTACATGTACATATATGTACATCATACATGCACATGTACATATAAGACAACTTGTCGTTATTAGATCTTGAATACTTTGGCCTCACACATTTGGTCTAGGTCTCCTAAATTCTCTCATTTTCAGCTTTTGGCCTCTGATGTAGTAGTTATCTTAGGTATTTTTAGCGCTCCAATTTTTAGTCAGAGCAGTTTCCCAAAATTTATACAATGCCTGTGTTGTAAAATACTAATGGGCGTAATGGGAAGAATTAGTCTTGGCAAAGATCAAAAATAGATCAAAGGTTGTGTCACAACCTTGGAGGCCATACTAAAGTACGTGTACTAATATCAACAAGGCCAGGTAACTATCCTTGTATCTGTTATGCTTTATTTTAGTGTCTTTACTTTTGATCTTCCTTTGATATTAAGGACGTCTTGTCATAAAATTTATTTAAATTTAACAAAAGACTTAGTGCTTTAGGGATTTCATATTGACATATATACATTTAGGCTGTATACATAATGTATATCACTCTGTCACTGCACCATGTAATATGTACAAATATACACACAAACTTAGAACAGCCTAGAATTGTAATGTGACCCTGATACTACTGATTATTATACCTTTTATCCATAAGGACACTTGATTCACATCCCAATAGCACACTCGACTATACTGAGAGGAGTTGGTCATAGAAGCTTCCACTTGATTTGCTTCTACAGCAGCCATGATCTAAATTTTCTTTACTTCTGTTTCACAGGCTCTCAGGCCGAGTGTCACTCGGTAATCTCAGGTTCTCACACTTCGTCCCACTCAGCTCTGTGAGCTGCTCACTGCTCAGATCCAGTCCAAGTGTATGTAAAAAGCAATAAAAGTCACGTGATGACTTGAAGAGGGCGGGGCTCAGTCACGTGAATACTGCAACTATGGCTGAATGGAGCTTCAAAGTCACCCTGCTCTTGTTACTTCTATTTCGATTGTGTTTTACTGGTGCCACCGAATGGAAGCATTGTCCTCTTAACTGTAATCAGAATTATAACATTGGTGGAGAATACAATGTTTCACTGTCATCCTTAAGTGGGTAAGGTTCTGAAACATGTACACATGATATTATACACTGTAAGTGTTTGCCAAATTTACTATAGTTTGTGTACCACAACTTTACTATTATTGAATTTTATGGATCTTGAGTTATTTGTTTGGCCCCTGATTATGTGGGGGCGAACAACAAGCTAACTCCTCCCCTGGTACATGTATATAATTTTAGTGTGGCATGTAGATGCCGTGATGTACTGAAGGTCTTTGGTGTACTAAGTTTTTGTTGTAATTATTTTATTGATATGATATTTACATTGTATACACATATTTTAGAATCTTTGATTTTCTCCTTTACTAAAATTAATACATGCAATTGTTAAATGGCATTTTTGTTTTTCATTATTAGGGTGTGGCCTGCTGTGTATTACCATAGTAATGATGTTAATTCTTTGCAAAACATACCAACATTCTTCAATCTCAGTGTTTGTGCTCCATTATCGTCTACTGTTGTGAACTGTGATGGAGATCATGTGTGCTACACTACTGATTTTAATTCTTTCTATTCATTAGGTTAGATTTAAAAAAGATATGCATAAATGATTTGCCTTTTAGCTTCTCATGGTTCTTGTGCCTACAAATCGGAGAATAGAATGTTGACACTAAGTTATCATTATAGTGCTGCGGGTTCGTCTCAATTTGGTAATGGCAATGTTACCATAACTCTGGTGTGTGGAGTTTCAATTGTAAGTTTTCTATTTCCTAATCATCAATGAACATATACATGTACTGTATTCATGCCTCATAATGCTGTTTGTGATGTTTATGTTTCTGTTTCTATGCTTTACAGTTAATTTGATAATAGTGACTGTGAAGATGAATGTTTATAATGGTAGTCATACTGCAATAGAGCTCGTGCATGGGTGTAGTTAATGAGAAGTGTGGCTAAATTTGCCTCTATGTTAGGTGGGAACAAACTGGGATTTTTCATCAAAGAGATATTATACTTGGCTGTAGAATAGTAGTGAGTTCTTCACTCAGCATATACCTTCATATCCTACCTTACTCTAGCTAGGAAGCTCAACTACAGAATTTATTCATATTCTTTTCTGTATTTCGCTATGTACATTCTTGCCACCCCAACGTGTAGCTGCCCCCCCCCTCCCTGTAGATTACATCCATGCAAGAGCTCTATTTATTATACTTGTATTAACTACATGTATACACATGTGTACAACAGTATTTATGTGTATTTGGTCTACCTGAATGACAAAATACTGGTGAATTTGGCTGCACAAGACTGACAATTAATGTGTTACCATTTGGCATTATGAAGCCATCATTGTTTATTGCAAAAATTGTGCTCACATCCTCATTTTCAGTTTGGGTAGATATTGCATTTCTGATGTACATATGTACATGTGTACATGTACATGCATGTATACACTTGTACACTGTACATGCATGTTCAAGTACATGAATTCTTTTTGATAGGGTGTTCCTGAAATTATTGAAGGGGATCCACATACAGGTAGTATAGAAATACTATGGAGCACATCATCAGTTTGTAAATCAGTGGGACAGCGAAATGAAACTAAATGTTATCTTGTTGATCATTACTATTATAATGGTCTACAAGCATCTTTTGTTGATTTGAGTGGACTATATAGAAAGTCTGGCTATGAAGCTAGTAATACTGAAAGGCCGGGTTTACAGTTTATAATTAGTGTGTGTCAGCCCATTTATACTGGAGGCCCCTGTGATAATTCGATGATTTGTTTATATTCTAATGATTCTCAAGTCTCTGTTTCAAGCAGTGTGAGCCTTCCTAGTCCTCTGGCTCTGTTTTCTCATTCTAACACAACCACTCCCAGTTTTGAAGGAAGTGATGTCGTTGTCACTTATCCTATTACTGCTCACTGGGTTTCTGCACAATGTTCTTCTAGTGCCTATGTGAAGATTAAGTTTCGATGCCCTAGCAAAAATCAGGTATTACATTAATAATTTGTACTTTAGTTTACAGGTAGGCACAGCCTGTGCAGTAAATGCTCTTGGGGTGAAAATGAAAGTGGCATGATCCTCAATAGTTAATTTAACAACTGTTTTTTGTACCCTGCATTGTACATTGCACATACAATGTACACATATGTACATTGTGTACATGTGACTTTATGTTTAGAGAATAATGTACATGTAGAGCCCATTTTGACTATTGAACCTGTACATGCAATTGCATGTACATGTATAGTAGTACTTGTAAATGTAATAATGTTGAGCTGTACTGATGACATGCATTTACATGTATCTTTTGTGCATGTACTGTATGTACTGTAAATTTTGTTGACTCTTTCGTTTATTGGTATTTTTTAGGATCTAGGCCCTACTCTTGAGTTTGTAGATGATCTTTTATGCCAGATTAATTTTTTGTGGACAACGAACCATGCCTGTGATGTGACTCGAGTTGTCTCATCAACTTGTACTCTCACATTGCCATATGGAGTAGCGTTTGATCTAAGTGGACTCAAAGAAGTTCAAGTAAATGATAGTTCTAATCAATATCAATATGATCTCAAGCCATGCTCTGTTGGCCTTAATACTCCTTGTGCCCGTACAGGTGATGCTGATGTCATTCATTCCATTCAGACTAATAGAAAAAGTGGAATATGTCTTGTTATAGGACGTGGTACTGGTAAATTGCGATACATTGATAATGGGCTGAGTTTAACATATGGTTTAGGAGATACTTGTCATAATGGATTACCTCGCACTACAATAATTACGTTTTTGTGCCCTAATGATGTCAAGACAAATTGTTCTGGTGATTGTGTGACATTTGTTGCTGAGGAACATTGTGTTTATCAATTTGAATGGATCACTACTGCTGCCTGTTTGGCTACTAGCGGTTCAAAATGCAAGTTTGAACTCCACCATGTTAGTTATAACTTTGGCCTACTAACAGAAGATACCAATCCAATTTATGCTGCTGTATCAACAGGACACGACTCTATTTGTTATCTGATTAATCCTTGTGGAAACTTGGAAGTGACCAATAAGACATACACTCCATCATATTACTGTAATAATCGAATTGCACCTTCAGCTTGCTCTGGCAGTAGTGTGTGTCAGATAAAGGAGCACGGTGATCCTGTTCCAATGGGTTCCTTTAATCTTCAAGATTCTTCTACTTTACGAACTATTGATCACAGTGTCATTGGTATTAGTTCGATATCATCAGGAAAATCTGCATTTATACAGTATATTTGTCAGACAGGTGCTCTATTAACTACGCCTGTTTACATTAGTCAGTTTACTGATAGTATCACAGAATTTCATTGGTACACATCAGCAGCTTGTCCTGAAGCTTATGCTGTGGGGTCTAATTGTTTAGTAACAGAAACACGAACAGGATTTGTTTTTAACTTAACGTCCCTTTCTCAACACACTCTTCATTTTACTGACTCTGTGTCTAATTATCATTACATGGTCCGTGTTTGTTCATCTTTGCCCTACTCATCAAATAGTAAATGTAATAATAATACAGCCGTATGCCAAGATACTGGACTTCGGAACTTTTCTGCTGGTCAACAAAATGCAACTTTGACATATGATGACAGTGTTTTAAAACTAGTATACACAAATGGAGACACTTGCTCTAATGGCTCTCGCAGGAAATCAACTGTGGTGTTCTTATGTGATGTTAATGCTCGAGATCCAGCTATTCAAAGTGTTACTGAAGTCCGACATTGTGACTATCTTATTGAAGTAAAGACCATGTTTGCTTGCCCTCCAGCTTACCAGTCTAAAGAATGCGTGTATTTTTCATCTAATGGTGATACTTATGATTTACTTGAGTTAGCAAAATCAGAAGGTAACTGGCAAGCACAAAGCTCTGATGGATCAGTCTATCTTATCAATGTTTGCCGCCCACTAAATCTGCAAGGTCACTACATGTAATTAATGAAATACATCATTGCTTTTTTGCACTTGGGGCTGCTCTTACATGTACAAAAGTGCAAGTACATGTATGTAATGTCTTATGATAGCAGAAGTGTACTTGCTTTTTTCCTGATCATCGGAGAATAAACTTATATTGTTTTTTTGCTATATGACATGTACGTGTACATGTAGCTAGGTTACAATATGTTATATCGACTTGTGTCCTGGTGACCTAGCTAATAGCATGATTTTTATCAGTCTCAAATGCTTTAAATTTATTCAGTTAATCCAAGAAGCCTTGTTCGTCTTCAGATTTATTTGTTTGTTATTATTGAGTTGCAATGTGGAAATGTTTTTGGAGGACATTCTGTCATTTTTATTTGCATCTAGTGTTAAGCAGGTTATTTGTAGCTTTACCACGCTAGATGCAGGTAATTAAATTTTGTGGTTAGAGCACGTTATTAATTTTAGTCATTTTTTCGAAGCCTGATCCTAATGAAGTATATCTACATTGTGTGCACGTAGTGTTGTTTTTAAATGTATGCTAATTGTGGGGGGATGGAGCTGCAATGTTCATGTGTTACATTCTTGTACTGTGTAGTTAGAAAAATAGTTTGTAACTACATGTATAAATCTAACTCTTTTTGCTTTCTTTTGAACTTTTTAATGTATTTTTAGGTGTTGGTCATTGTAATCCATTGTCAGCTGTTTGTCGGATTGTACAATCCACTGGATTTGATTTAGGCTATTTTTCCTCTGCATCTCTTAGAAATGGCTCTGGTGAAGCCAGCCTTGTTCTTACTTATAAGTACAAACAGTCTGTTAATGGTGCTAGTTGTCCATTAGTTACTACTGAAATACAGTTTGTATGTAATCATTCAGTCTCTATTGCGGTAAGTGATTATTTACCTTGATATTTATACCATTGTTTTTTTCAAAGCTGGATATTTGTGTACATGGGTTTATGAATTTATTTTTATTCACTTAATATAGAATGGACCTCGTCATGTTAGTGGAGGAAATGAGGATAATCCTTGCCACTACATATTTCGTTGGGAGACAAGAGTAGCTTGTCCAGTTGTTACCTCAAATGATACGTCACATTTTTGTAATGTTACTGATGTTGCTAGAGGATACACTTTTAATTTAGAACCACTTAGGGCTCATCAACATATTTATACAGTTAATGACACTAAAAAGAATTATCAGTACTTTTTAAGTATTTGCGATTCTTTACAAAAGAAGGAAAGTTTGTGTAATCGTGATGGTATTACTGGTTGTCAGGTTATAAATAACACTAGTGCTTTTGTAACTGGAACATATTCCAATATGGAACTTCTTTACAGGGAAGAAAGTGTGATTTTGAAGTATAGTGGAGGTAGTCACTGCACTACTGGGAATCTGACGAGATCTATGGAAATTGATTTTATTTGTGATCGTTCTGCTGGAAGTAATTATTTTGGATATCCTAAATCCGTTGATGAATCTGAGCACTGTCATTATCTTTTCACATGGGAAACGTCATTAGTTTGTTTACCTGTCACACTGGATTGCATGACTGGTGGTGGTATGTATGACTTAAGGCCACTGATGCAGACAAGAGATTGGCAAGTTGACACTGGTAATGGAACAGTGACTCTGAGTGTATGTCAGCCAGTCAGTGAATCTTCAAGGTGTCCACAAACTTTTGGGATTGGAGCATGCTTTGGCAGTTCAATTTTGGGTCATGTAACTGGTAATCTAATAGTTATTAGTGAGGGAACACTACAATTGTCATATCATAATGGCGATATTTGCTCTGCTGATGGTCTGAGAAAGATTACTGTCATTACTTTCCACTGTAACAAAGGAGTTGGAGCTGTGAGTAAAAAAATTAATAATTGTTTAGTATCGGTTACTAGAAAAAGATTGAAAGTTTTAATTATTAAAGTTTTACAAATTAGTGGCTTAACTGGCTTGTGAAAGCTACGTGTACATGTGTACTTTCAAAAAAATGTTAACTTTCATTGATTGGTGTCTGTGTTTTTTTGTTAGGGAGCTCCAGTGTTGGTATCGCCTCTGGACAGTTGTATAATTAATTTCAATTGGGATACTATTTATGCTTGTTCGCAGTATGGTTCGTCTGCAAACTGGACAATACAAAATCCCGTAACTGGTCAGGTTTATAACCTGACTCAGTTGAAGCCTGTGTTATCTGCCATATCAGTTGATAAAAAGTGAAACTTTATGCTAACCTTTATTTATTTTTTTGATTTCATGTTAGGTACAATTTTACCATTGGATTAGCTGGCCACACTGTTCCTTGTGGTAGAAGCAATGACAGTGTTTCAATTTGTCAAACCTCCTTGTCTGATAATAGAAGTTTTGTTGTAGCAAGATCTTCCAACTTTTCTTTAACAGTTACTGGAGGCAAAGTATATTAAAAATTGTTTTTCTTTTTTATAAAATTTTATGTTAGGCACAAGTTACCTATGAGAATGGTGATTTATGTAATCATGTGCATATAAAACGTAAGGCTGTGATATATTTTGAATATGATCCACGATCAGACTTTTTGGAAGCCCTTTCTGAGGAAGAATGTGAGTATTCTTTTATTGTATATACTCCTCTTGTTCGAGAAAAGACTTTGCATATTGGTATTGAATGCAGTCTACAAAATTTTCCCGATTTGTCCTGGTTTTCTAGTCAACGGATGCGACCAATAACAATTGGCTCATCTGCCAAACTTTACTTTTCTGTTTGCCAGCCTATATCTAATAATAATCAAGTGGTTAATTCAGGTTATGAATCATGTTCCGATTTTGCTGGTGCATGCATCATTAATGGCAGGTATGTGTGTACATTGCATAATACTTTCTTATTGTTGATGTGTTTTGTATTAAAGCACTGTCTTAAATTTGGGTCGTCCGAGTGTTCATCACCCTCCTGAAGTGGCTAGTAGTGGAAATGGTGTAATTATTACCTATGTTAGTGGGAGCCAGTGTGGGAACTCAAATTATGTAACTAAGATATGGCTTACTTGCAGTAATACTACTGCTAGTGTAAGTGCTTAAATTCAAATTATTATATTTATTGCACTATTTTTTAAAGGATCGACCTAGTATTGTCTCCTCATCACATTCATGTGAATATATCATTTTATGGCCAAGTCGACATGCCTGTCCGTTTGCAATACCTTCTACCAATGTATCAGATCATGTGTGTTCAATACAAGATCCTTATGATGGCACTTTATTTGATTTGACAGTACTCAGTAACAATTCTTATGTAATAGATACTTCAGGAAAATTTATCATTGGCCTTTGTGGAAAGATTAAAAATGTAAGATGTTGATGACTTAAGTTCTCAAAAGTGAAGTGCATTGAGAAGTGTTTTTTGTACAGTACTGCTCAGCTTGAACTTTACTGGAGATCACACGTGTAAAAGTAAAGTTATAGCTGAGTGGTACTGTAGTTAATGCATAAGCCAAGATTCACCCCTCATTTTGAAATTTATACTATTCCTTATGTATTTTATTACATGTACATATTTTCTGCTGGTTCTATTGACTGCATGAACAGTTTTACTGTTTATAAGCTAAAGTGAAACTAAAGCACTAATGATGTTTATTTTGCATACAAATGCTTGTTGTAGCACTTGTATAGGACATCATAACATTTTGTTTAAATCAATGAGAAATGTGTGACAATGTTTATTATTTAATTTTTTCTTTTTGATGCATTTACAAATATAATGCTACAACAGGCACCTTTAGGTTGTAATCATAATGGTGTTGGCATTTGTCATTTTTCTGGTAATCACTGGATGATGATGGCAAACAGCAGCCATAAAATTACTATGGTATCTCATTCCCCTCATACTTTGGATGTGGTTTATACTGTTGGTGCTTCATGTGCTGGTGGTAGCACTTGGCTTATTGTTATTCGACTATACTGTTCTCTACTTCAAAGCTCGGAAAAACCTATACTGAAGTCTACCAGTAATTGTGAAGTGCAGTTTGATTGGCCAATCAGTTCCTTGTGTATTAGCAAAACTGAGGTACTGTTCATAGTACATTATGGAAACTAGCCATGAAGGTTTTGTTTAATATAGGGTTGCTATGCTATGAGTTCGCAGAATGTTTTGTTTGATTTAGACCGCCTTGTACCTAAGTCATGGCAAGTGAGTGAGTTATTATTATGACTATTTATTGTACTACATGTATGTTTAGGGTACCTATTTACATGACGGAGTATTAGGACGATTTAATTTAAGTATCTGTCGAAATCTTAATCCTACAGTTAGTGAAGGATTGAATTGTTATCCTGGTCCAGCTGGTATATGCTTACAGCCTGATGTTTCTCTTTCGAATTCTTTTTTGGTTAGTGTGCAGCATCTACATTTTGGTACATGCATGTGATGATCTCTACTTGGTTTTCCTAGAATCTGGGTCGTATGAGTGCGAAACCAAATGTTTCAAATAGATCCATTGTGTTGAATTATACGGAAGGAAGCTCCTGTGGTCATAATCAAAACATATGTACTACTGTCAACCTTGTTTGTGGATCTGGGGTAAGATAATAAATGCATGTGCATATGCAGCAATAGAAACATGTATTAGTGGAACGATATCCTATTATTTTTCTCACCACCTTACATTGTACATATAATGGCTCTATTTACATGTACATGTACCTTCCAGTGCTTCTTCATATGTCTTTAGACATTGTCTTTACTATGTCTTTGTGCCAGAAATATCACAACTTTGACAGCTTTGACCCATTTTTAAGCCATAATTTTTGTCATGGCCACACCCACGATATGTGAGAGTGGTGTTGCTAAAGCCTTATGATTGTTGGTAATTTTCAGTAATACATTGTACATCATGTACATGTACATGTACATGTTCATGTACAGTTCATACAGTACAAAGCGGAAAAAGCTAGATAGCGCACAGTAGTACATGTACATGTATGTAGGTATAGTGTGTAGGAAGTACTGTGGTTCCACCCAGTTACACATACATGCTCTGTAGTAGCTTATGCTCACATGCATAAGAGGCTGTCAAAAACTCAAGGATGCTTCTCTTGGCTGTCTGTGCTCTTCAAGTTCATCTGTACTTCTGCTCCATTTATTGAGAAGCCCATTTAGCACTATCTTCGCTCCATTCTACAGTTGAGCTACTGTCGTGCTGCTGACAAGCTAGTTCTACTGGTATTTTAGTGTTTTATAGTATATATGTTAAATTTTAGTAGTCATATGAGTATGGATCCTCTGGTGGACTTTGGATGGTGCTGTCTAATAGATCCTGATCCCAACCTTATTCCATCATTTCATATTTATGGCTGTACTTTTGACAAATGTGAAAAACCTGTACATTTTCTCTATCCACTCTAAAAGTCGTAAAATGTGATAGTAGTAAAATGCAGAGCCACTTCAATATTGTTTGTTAACTGGCCATTTTCAAGCCCTTCTCTCGCAGTATTTATAGGAATTCCTTCTACATTCAATGTTATAACAGATTATAAAACCCTTGTGCTGTTTACATGTACTGTAATACATGAATAGCTATAGATTATAACTTGAATATTAGTCATAAATTATTGCTACATGTATATGTACATGCATTATATGTCATTGTAGTATTTAACATGTGTATGCATTATGGTGCTACTCTTTGATAAAGTTAAAAGCTCTTTTTTTGTGTAGTCATCTGATTCTCCAATTCTGAGAGCAGTAGATTCTTGTCATTATTTTATTGATTGGAAAACTGAAGTAGCTTGTAATGAGACAGTAACGGTGAATGGATCTTGCATTTTGGAAGATACTCAGTCTGGCATTCAGTATAATTTCAATTCTCTTGCTAAACCACTTATCGTAAGATTGTAATGATGATGATGTTATACAACTTTTATCTGGATGACATTTTTTATATTGTAGTTTTTGGATGCTGGTGTTTCCTTTTCTATTTGTCTTTGTCCTGGATATCTCTGCAAGAAATCTTTCATACTGAATACAACATCTAGCAAAGTTTTAGGCCAGTTTCAAGAAATGGTAGTATATCCTGAAACTGGTGCTGAAGTGCTGTATCAAAATGGAGATGGTTGTCCTGGTGAGTAAATTTATAGTATCATAATGCTTATTGCACATGCATCTACTGTACATGTATGCACGTTGTATGCACTTCACAAAATTATAATCCAGTTTACTTTCTTGCCTTAAAACCCTCTAAGTTTATCACATCAATGTACATTAAGTATAACTAAACATTACTTCTGTATTGAGACATGTACTTGTAGATGTACATGTACTGTATGAAAATAGTCATTGTTGGGTAGAGAATATACAATCTATTGATGCACTAGGTCTACAGGCTACACATACAGTACAAGCCAATAAAAACTTCGCGTTCCGTTTACGTTGAACGGCCGTTGGGCGTTTCAACGCTATATAAAAAACGTTTACTTCCGTTTATGGTCCGTTTTTCCATGGAGCACGTTTTTACGTTGGCTCAACGTTTTGTCCTTGCCTCCTTGGTTTTCTCTACTCCACAGATACTACATGCTCGTTCTCGACTGCCGCTCTGGAGATACTACTGTCATATCAGTTCAGTGTGGACCTCAACTCAAAGAGACGCTGTGTGAGTCGAGGTGTGAAGTACTCGTCTCGTTGGAAGACGGGCCACCAGGCTCGGTGTAGTCTCAATGTATTGTGATAAGCATTAGTTATCAGTATCATTACTATATTTCTATCATTATTCTACTCTTAGTTTCAAAAACTTGTATTATATATTATATATTTTTTATTTTATGAAAGATTCAAGCGTCATGCATTTTGATCTTGGTACTAGCAGGTCTATAATTACATGATTTTATTTTATAAATGATAATAATATAATAGCTGCTTCTTTGCTTGACAGAGCACTCTTTCTTGTGACTACTTCTTGTCGTCCTATTGAATCATACAACATGAGAATAAGGTGGGTGAATTACATGTATATAAAATGCATGTCGCTACGTTTATGACTTACCTGTCTGGTTTTATCATCAACCATGGCTCATAGTCGTTTTGTAAGTGTATCTAAGGAAGCCTGACTCCTGAAGAAACTGTCAGAAAAGAGAAAAGTCGAGCAACGCTTGGAGCGTTGTTCATGGAAATAAAAACGGCAGTGCCCAGACCCAACGGACCATGAACGGAACAACCACAATAAAAACGGAAACGGCGCTACCGTTTAATCGCCGTTCAACGTAAACGGAACGCGAAGTTTTTATTGTCTTCTACTGTACATGTACATTATGTATTATTTGTATTATTTTAGGTAGAAGTAACTTTTCATCCATTGTTTTTATGAGGTGTGATCGCAGTATATTAAATGAAACAGGTCGCTTTATATGGGAGAAGGTAATTTATCAAGTTGCAATTACATGTACATGTATTGCTATAAATTGGTTTAAATAGGAGCTGTCTGACAATGAATGTCAGAAGTATTTTAGTTGGTGGACTCCTCTGGCCTGCCCAACAACAGAGGTTGTTTGCGTTGCTCACAAACCAGGTAGCAGTTTCTATTATGATTTTAGCCCTCTGCATACAACTAGTGGTTACTGGACAGTTATTGATGAAAAGTAAGAAAATTAATTGTGTGCATGTACATGTATATTAAGTTTTGCTGTAAGGATTTACACCCTACTGCTGGTGTAACAATAATGTTACAGTGCTCCTTTATTTTACCTTGGCCAAGATGATGTTGTACTATCTTTACTTTATGTCAGTAGATTGAGACAGTTTTTATAATAAGTATATACAGTGTACATGTACATTAAGATTAACTTAATTACCGTAGGCTGGGTTTTGATTGCGTATCTAATAGATTGCGAATTTGAAAAAATAACTATAGTTTGCGTTTCCAACAATTGCGAGATGCTAGCCTAGCTAGCCACACTCACAAGTTAACTGATTGTCTTGTTTCTCTCCTTTACCATCTAAAGCTACTGCCACAGCTTGATCAACTTCCTTCAAGATGTTAGGTGGCATTGGGACTTAACTAGATGAGGTAATTTGGGCTGAAAATAGCACAGGATACCACTTATGATGCTGTAAATGAAACACGTGTAAAAAAATGATTGATAGGTGTGGCGCTTATTAATTATTATAGGCGTGGCGTTCATCAATTATTATTAATTACGATTCTTTTCATTGCGAGATGTATTCCAGACTTGCAATTCGCAATCAAAAAAACCTCGCAATCAAAACCCGGCCTACGGTATTTGAATTACATATACATGTATGGTCTCTGTCAGTCTTTGATTGGTTAGTGCATGGACTCATGTTTATAAGCATGTGTGCATGACTACATGCACAGTATTAAGATATGATGATGGGTTAAGTTTTATTATAGACTCAGGGCATGTTCTGTATGAGCTACATGTAGTTTGCAGATTTTTATTTACATGTGTATGTATGATTAGTTCAAAAGTACACCTTTCTTTGGTACTTCTATATTTACGTACTTACATGTACTTATAGCTATATGTATGTACATGTATATCATGACCTGAATATTCCCATTGATTAACTGACCTAGCTTTATGTTTATTGCTATAATATTTACATGTATGCTGTACTTGTTCTTTTATTGTTGCTGTATAGCCACAACAAGTATTTCATAAGTATTTGTGGACCGATTCATGGTATTGCAGGTATAGATCTATAATAGTGATGTACAATGTTTTTAATTGATCTGATTTTTACATTATAGGTTGTGCTGGTGATGCTTCAGTTTGTGTGCATAAAAATGATGGAACTTATCAAAATTTGGCATATAGCAGCACACAGTCAATAACTTTTAATGGTACATATTTTTGTTTACATTATATAAGCAAACAATATTTTACTGTGAGTTAATTTATAGCTAATGGAAACCCTGTCATTAAGTTTCATGGTCCTAAGCTTTCAACGCTACCTCAGCCATATTCTGTCACAGTCGAGCTTATTTGTGGTTTGCAGTCACTGAGTCTTCATAGGTACACACACACATATAATATAACTATGTTTATTATTTTTTTAATTTCAGTCATACTTCATCATCAGTTAGATTTGAATGGTATACAACATTTGCCTGCCCAAATACTAACAAGTACATTACCATAGTTTGCATTTTGTTCATTAAAAAATTTTGTAGTGTTCACTTGCAGAAAGATTGCAGTTCGTATGTTGAAACTGATAGTGTTTATACTTTTTATCCTTCCAAGTTATCAAAGTAAGATTTTAAAAGTTAAAACACTTTTAACCTACATGTACTAATGGCCATATCTATTATGCACGTATGTGTACTTGTATTTTGCTTATTTCTACTAGCATTTGTAGCTGAGTAAAATTACTTTTCTTAGTATACTACATGTACGTGTACTTGTACGTACATGTCCAGTAATGTTCTTACATGAACCATATTTTCTGTCATAAGAGCCTATTAAGAATAAGAGCCCATCACTATTACATATTGCTGCTATAAATATGCATAGGTACGTGTATCTGCAGTATGTTTTTATAGACCAGTTGGGGCTGGGTATATTCATAGAATTTTATGTATATTCATTGTGATACCATAATGATTATTTATTGAGATTGTCTGAGAAATAGACACCTACACGTAGACTATATAAATTTTAATTTAAAACTAGCCCACATCTTACTGTGTGAATTGTGTCACTGTGTGACTACTGATATATACAGTATCAAATTGTACACTTTTGTATGAAATAGTAATACGGCTGTAAGATGTACGTATTATGGATTAAAATTGTGCATCCACATTGTCTGGATATTTTAGTTGCTATTGACCATATACTTGCAGTAGCAGCAATTTTCCTTAGTGAGAGGTCTGCTATTTTGCTTTAAATGAGGGGTTTGGCAATGGCAATGCCGTAGTAGAATGTCAATGCCATTGCACAAATCCATTGCCTCAGTGGATATGTGCAATGGCATTGAGATTCTACTGATTAGTGCAGTACCCACCATATTGTATGGCAGATGTACAGTACATAATGTAAATGTATGAACATGAGTAATTTTGAGTAATTTTAATTTTTAGACAATATACCTTGAGTGTTGGAAGGTTTACTTACTATATAAATTTTTGTGATAATGCTCCTAAATGCTCGAGTGGTATGTCATCATGTCGTATTGATAATGGAAACAATGGTGGAAAATTGAATCTTGGCTCTACTTCATCTCGTCTGGTATATATAGATTGTGAGTGATATGATATATATTATTGTTTTTATGAAATATCTTTTTTGCAGCATATAAAATGCAAATCAGTTTTGTTGGGAATGATGGTAATACAACTGTTATTGTTGAGTGTGTTGGGAGCAATTTTAATAAACATTATCAACTTGACACTGTAAGTAATGTTCAATGACTCAAAGTGTAATACTTATTTTGAGGAAAAATGTGCATGATTAGTACATGTACTTGTTGTATGCATGTTTTTCGACTGTAGATCAAAGGACTGAATTTAATGGAAAATGGTGTAGAGATATTTTTATGTATTTTTTATTGGGAAGAGTTTTTACAACTGATTGCTTTTTGAGCTTAATAAAATTAATAATAAACTAAAAATTTTTCAGATTTTGATGAAACTTGGTGTTTTAATAGTATTTGATAGAAGTTCTTAACTTTTAGGTGAATTCAAAATATATAGGTTATACACCAACTAGAAGGGATTCATACTATTTTAATCCTGAGGGTATAGCCCGGGGGATTAATTTAAAGTAGTATGAAGCCTGACTAGGTGGTGTATTACATATTTAAACTATATTCATTGGTATTTGAAGAGATTCATTGGTGTTTTAAAGATATTTATGGTATTATGACGTGACTTACCCCTGAAGACTGAAGAGCACATGGTCCAGACAGTAGACTCCTGAAGCCAGGCTAGCTACAATCTATGTTATAAGAAGAGTCATAGAAAGAGCTTGTAGAGATGCTGAGACTCGTGAAGCAAGAGCAGCAAGGCTTACAGTAGCTTGAGCTCGTAGGGACGCTGAGAATCCTGAAGAGAGAGAAGAGAAATGAGGCTGGCTAGAGGAAGACTGAATGACAGAGTTATAAGCATAGAGGCACTTGTCGAGGAAGAGCTAATGCTCAATCCAGAAGAGCTAATGAGCCACCTGCTGATAGAGACCTCTGTCTGGCAGCTGACAATAATTGCTAATTGAATGCTTCCTTGCAAAAGAATTTCAACTTTATTCAAAATGAATTTTTTTTACATTGAAGCAGTGAGGTTATACAATTTTAATCCCTCATGAACTCATAAACATCAAAGGAAATTCTTCATGATATAGTTAAAGTAAATTTAATCCACTGTAGCCGAGAAAATATGTCTATGACCCTACAAATTTACTAAATGCAGGAGAGTCGTTGAAATCTTTTGTTTTGATGGTTACATAATAATATAAACACATGTTTTTTCCCAAGAAGTTAAAGTTACATTTAAAATAAAATTTGAATTTTTACCACTTTTTGTCACATTTTAGTCAACAGTCAAATGCATGGATGTACATGTATTATGCACAGTTCGAAGATCATGTTAATAAAAAATTTGTACCGCACTAAAAGTGAAAATTTTTAATTTTTATGAAACATGCTTAAATAAAATTCATTTCATCACTATAAGCCTGGTTTGTACTAACCATGCACAAAATGCAACACAAAAATGAAATTTGGTCAACTTTGCATCAACTTGAATGAATTAATTTTGTCAAAAGGTCTGATCATAATTGCCCATGCAATTGTGACCATTACATTTTCTGTTCTTGTCTATATTCTACTGTTTAATATACACTGTAGTTATATTGTGGTAATAATTATTACTCTCTTCTTTATTTAATTACTCTATTTGTTTAATACCTATTATACGTGTATGATGATTCAATCATTGTGCATTTTTGTTTATTGTGTTGTATTTTTGATCTTTGCATACTTTTTTCATTATTGATTATTTCATAGATTATGTTAGAAAATGAATACACCACTGTACATGGAAAATTAAATGTTGTTTTTAAGATGTTCACTAGTGTAGGGTGTCAGTTGTAAGTTTTTATTATTGCTATTTGCTAGTGCAACTGTTATATACCTATATTTAGGAAAACACCTAGCTCTGAACCCTCTGGTCATTCACCTACTACAACTAGCCATGCATCAACAAAATCAATAGTTGTTGTTATTACAATATTGGCTGTCATACTCTGCTTGATTGTTGTGTCCATTGTGATAGTTTTTCTTTGGAATAAGGATTTAAGGTAATGAATATTGTTAAGCTTGCATCTGTAAAATTTGTTATTTTTTAGACAAAGTTTGTTTTTTAGATTATTTGGTTCTAAGTCAAATGAGCCTGTCCGATATATGAGAGCAAAAGTAAGTTACTAAAGTGTTGAATCAGATATATTTGTACTGACAAGACCATTCAAGTGTTATCTGCCTAATCAAAGTCAAGTTATTCATAATTCCTTTGATGTTTAAATCAAAAACACAAAAACATAATTAATACATCATGGTTCTTCATGCAACATTTGATTTTACAGTGGTGAATAGTACAAGCAATTTTTATATTTGTACATGCACTTGAGGGCATGGTAAGTGGTGAAGCCTTTCGGTGATTTAATTTATACATATTACATTTTAAGAATGCGCAATTAACTCATATAATGCATATAAGAATAATTGACAACTGCCTGCTTGTAGCTTGGCAATTAGACGATATTGATGAAGTACGTAACTAATTAACAAATTTTAAAATGGAAAGCTTAGTTTGTGGTATCAGGTAGTGTAAGCATCATTTGCTGGATAAATATTATTATTTTGAAGGGTTACAACTAATCTAAATTTTTGAAAAATAGGAATAGTGCGCTGAATTGTGTGAGTTTGCAACTCTATTTTTCAAGTCTATTTCTTTGACATTACACTTATGTCTGAAATAAAAGATGATTCTTATTGCCAGCATCTGATAAGTATTATACTTTTGTTTTGAAAATTTTGAGTGAATTATGCATTACTGAGTAGAGAATTAGATAAAGAAAATAAAAATGATGTTTTCAGTTCTGTTGCAATATTTTGAATTCCACTAGTCAAAAATGAACTACCTGTATAATAACTATCAGGCTCCTGTAACTATAGACAACAATAATGTATTTTTGTTTTGATATTAATTCTTTTTGTTACTAGACAAGAGATACATTGCTTGATAATGAAAGTGAGGAAGATAGTGATGAGGAATTAGAAGTTTTTCAAGAAACATCTCTAGATACAAAAGGAAAGTCACCCCTCTTGGTTGATATTGATGATAAGGGCAAAGGGTCTGATGAAGAATTGTTAGATTTATAAATAGTTTGTGATGTAAGTCTGTATGTATTTGTATTATAGAAATTTTTATTATGTGTTATCTTTGGAAGCATGAAGTTAATAGTAACTAATCATGATCCATTAATTGCACATGCTGCTTTCAATTAACTTCAAATAAGATGTACAATTGTAGTTAACTAAAGCAAAGTAATTTAAATTTTAAAAGCAATTAAAATTTTAAAAGCAATTAAACATTGTTAGTAGTATGAAAACAACTGTCACGAATGGTAGGCAAACATTTCATCACATAAGATTGAAACTCTTTTCGGTGAACTTTTGACCCTGTCAGTATTGACTGATTTGCCTGTAACAATTCCTTGACACCTTTATTATTACCAAAGCTTTCATTGAGAAGTATACTATCCACATTAATCGAATGTTCCTAAATGGAATATTATTACATACATGTACATGTATGTAAACATTGCATAGCAGAAACATACTTTAAGACAGCACATCAGTTGATAAATAGCAGCAATAAAATGAGATATAGTATTAGTTTCATGATAAGACATAAGCATTTCTTTAAATAACTCCTATGGAAACACAATTGACACATTAGCAATGAATGTACATGTAAATGAGTAAGTACTTTCAAAAAAAACTTTAAGCCTTGAATAAACAAGTCTAAATTAACAGTAGGTGAACAGTTACTTAATGACTCTATGCATTCAACAGAAAGAACTCTTATGTCAGCACCAAACCTACAATCAAAAACCCACTCATTGATAAAATTATTAAAACAATAACAAACCTGACACACCCCAATCCAATTAGTGTGAAGGTGTATTCAATGCAATCTGTGGGTAGTGTTAACAAACTTTCAGGAAATATTTCACATACATAATGCAACAGTTCGTAGAATTTCTTGCAAATATCAGGATACTGTATAATAATAATAATAATAATAATAATAATAATAATAATTGTATTTAGCCTTATACATGTACATGTACATGAGTGAGTGATTGAACTATTCTTAATACCCCAAGAGAGATTTTAAATGTTGTTAACTGTGTTTTATAACCACAGTGCACTGTAAACCGAGATTAGAATTATTTTAAATAATCATGTGATTTCAGTTATTAAGAACCATGCCTGGTATGGGAATAGAATCAAGCAAGAATTAACACCAAGAAGCACTAAAGAGATATGTGGAGCAATACGGAAGTTTTCATTGTTGTACAAGAAAGATCTACTTGGTGATATCACTAGCACTACAGTGCAGTTTGACACTCTCTAAACCATAGAGCAATGGGAAAGTAACCACACAGTCAAAGCCAGTTTGAATTTGGAGCAAAAATTGGGCAATTATTATCACAAATACTATTACCAGAAAAATTGTGATACATCAACAACCATCACATTGGTATAATCATAAAAGTAATAGATTACTTAGCATTAAGTACTTGCATTCAATGCATGTAATTAGAGTTGTATTACATTCTAATTTCTATTACTATTAAAGACAAAGATTACTTACTACTTCAATTACTAATATAATACTATTGCACTAAAAAACTAGACACTCAACTAGCAGTTTCTACAGTTAATCATTCATGTATTTCAAACTATAGATATTAGAGTTACAGGGATGGGAAACTTCCATCTTAGAAACTTTCTTTTGCAGCAAATCAAGCTATCTTCCCATACTGTATTAGTTTTTCTAATTGTCAGTAATTTTTATTTTTACAGTGCCACAATGGTGGATAAGCTGTGATGTAGCAGGTCTTTCTCATGGTATTTCAGCCTGTTCAGGTCCACTGAATCGACTTAATAATGAACTTTTTGTGGGGCGCTGTCTATGTTCTTCCTTTATTCTAGCTATCTGATGTAGTGATTAGAATGTTGGTAATGTATCACTTAATTTCATGTATCTGAAAAAAAAATTTTTGAGCTACTTAGAGCATATTAAAACGGCTGCTAATGGGTAGAAGACCCAGGGTAGGGTATAGACTTTCTGTAGATGGGGCCATTCTAGTTCCTGAGATAGGTGTGTAGAAGCAAAACACAGCACATTTGCTTTCTTATGTGTGTAAACGCTACCAAAGTGATGCACAGGACTATTTCAAGTTGGAAGACCTGGAGGACTGCTTGTAGAATTGGTCTATCTGGCTAATCATGAAGTATTTAGAAATGAGTTTGAGATACAGATGTCAAAATGCAAAACAAAAATTTCGGCGTTATTTCATGAAGATGTGATGTTTATTAGTCTATCACAGTTTATATTGAAGCAATATTCTAGACGCAACATAAAACCTTCTAATAGGCTTTTTCAGGTAGAGACAGAAAATATCAGCCAAGATAGCTAATTGCCTAATTTTTGGACTGCTTAAAAAAGGGAAGGGAGCATTAGAATTATTCTGTTGCTAGGCAAAATATAATTATATTCAATGGGAATAATAAAACTGCAATTTTCCTATCCCTGTAAACTCTAATATCTATGTTCAAACCAAATTATATAAAAAATAACACAGTCTTTAACATTATTCTTATTAAAATGAATTAAACATACTAGCTTTACCTTTAACAGATCTTCATTCACATGAACTGCAGGTAGAATAGCACACAGTCCCTTTAAAACAACATCAACATGTATACTTACATCATTGGTATCTAAAAGAATGAAAAATAAACATTACTATATGCATATTAGTAGTTACGTACCATAAGTCCATACTGCATATGATGAACTTAATGGCATATAGAGGTATAATAAAAATCACAAATACATGTAAATTTTTGATACAAGAATTTAATGCTATGTTTAGTTATTAGCTTTTAAGTTATACATACATGTACATGTAGTAATTTGTAACAACTATAGTCATAAAATTACCAGATTGAGAAAAATCAATGTAATCTTTCGTGGTAAGGTGAGATAGAGTTTCAATAAAAAAGGTAAGATCGTCATAGTCCATATCATCAGACATCTTTTTGCAGTACTTGCCTAAGAAAATTAATCAGTTAAAATCATAATAAAAATTCAACCCCTCTATTTCATTGAGTTTTCTTTGGCAATTGGTACTGTATCAAATAATGCAGATGCTCTAACTGTCTTGCAGATATACATGTAAATAAAAAATCTCCAACAAAATTGAGCGATATCAATGATATAAAGTGTCACCTAAGTAGAGTACATGGTAAGAACTGTAATTGCTCACCAACAATAATCTTTGCATAAACTGATACAAGTGTTGAGCATATATCATATAACTGACTCACACTGACCTTTAATTGTTAAGAACAGCAAAAAATAAAAAATGCATATATTGTACATTGGAAACCTTACATCATTTAAAAAGAGAAGAAAATTTTCTGAGACATGACAAAACAACTTCAGTATAGCTTGATATAGATCTTGGAAATCACAAACACGATCCATAATTTGAACACAAGTTGAAAGGATTGGTAAGATAAAAGGAAACACCACATTCACAATTGAATTATGAGATGCTACTATAACACCATTGATTGATTCCAGCAGCATTAACAAGTGTTTCTGCTCATTGAGGGATTGACTATCAAATGAAGCCATCAATCCTTCAAATTGAGAGTATAATAGACCTAAGAGCTGCAAAATTTGTACTATTATTGTGATAGCAGAGTACATCTTATAACAATTCAAATAATATTGTAAAAGTAAACAAAACTTAATCATATCAGAATAGAAACATGCATGCAATGATAAAAAATACATGTACCTCATTCAAAAATTCAGCATTTTTGTCTCCAGAAGCACATGAAACAAGTCCTTTAAAGATCTCTCTTTGTACTGATGGAGAACACATAGCTAAACAATGCTGGCCACTAGCACAAGCTTTCATAAATGAACACATTTTCTCTGAATTGCATAAATATGTAGACCTAAAGGATACTTGAGAGTATTGATGAATGACATAACATTACAACCTCAATGGACTTGATTGGCACAATTTAGTAAGCAATTTCATGGAACAAATACATAGCTTTTCTTCTGACATCCAAACAGATGTATTAAATAATACTTTATCCAGTATAAAAAACAAAAGCCATCTTGATTCATCAGTGTCACTAACAATCATTCTTGACAATATATCACTCATCTGCAATTTGAAGACAGTGAATATGTATAAACAAATAGACAAATACCTTCTCATACTTTCTTGATGACAGAAGATAAGTATTACAAACAGTGAACAATGACCAAGTGGCTGATTCAGAAACCTGAGGACTAACAAAGTCCTTTAAACCTTTATCAATCATATCCTTTTCAATCACGCACCACTGACACAAACAAACAATAAGTGAAACAACAGGATCCACAGAACTGGTATTACTATGATCAGTATTATACACGAGCTGTTCCAGTGTAAATAAATCATTAGTCTGATGTTCAAAAGAATGGCTCTGTATTTGTTTAGGAATTACACACTCTTCACCCTCAACAACATCAGTCAATGTGAAAGCTGCAATCAAAAGAAGCCAGTGAATATCTTCAAAAAGAGCCTCAATTTCATACACGGCAGCAGTATTAGATTCTGATGATGACAAAACAGCTATCAGTTCTGTGCATTTGGAATAGCACTGATTAAATAAATCAAGTAGCATAGACAGGAAATCTGTTAAAATGTGACGTGAAATAAACCCTAAATAACTCAATTCGTCATAATAGATCTCGCGATCATCGTCAGTGAAATCCAAAGTAGTGCAAAAACCAGTGCAATACTGTCGTAACCCACGAGGATGATTTAGCTTATTTCGAAGGTAAACAGTAACCAAAGTGAGCAATGATTCCTTTAAATAGCCAGCAAAGTTACCAGTTGGAGGTTCTATGAGACGGTAAATTCCTTCAAGAATAAAACAGTATGACTCTTCTAACATTGATGAATCTTCATGAGACATCTGTAAAAAATAAATAGCATCACAATATTTAAGCCTAACCTCAATTGTAGCTGATCTTTGTGAACTAATTTCAAAAAGGTGAACTAAGACTTTTGATAAGGCCAACAAAGTCTCTTCAGTCAGTATCACAAACAGTAAGTGACAAAAATTTGATAAAAAACGACGAAAAACACAGGTAATTCCATATAATGCTTTGTCACTTAGATGCAAACTACAAGATATAAGTTGTCAAATAATAATGAAATGGTTATTTAAATAAGTACTTTTGCATGAGAGATGAAATCAGTGTCTTAACAAAATTAATGGCATAAGACCTTCCAATGTCTTTAGAGGAAAAAATAGCTCCAGACAGAGAAGCTAATTGTGACAAACATTGACAAACAGATACAACAATGTCAGATCCACCAGAAAAATTATTAAAGAGCTAAAAAGAGAAAGGTTTATAGTTAGTATAAAGGACTAAAAAGTATAACTTGTAAATGTACATGTATTGTATGTACATGAATAATTTACCTTTAGAAATACATGAACTATAGCAGGATCTAACAGAATATCATTAAATGAAGGTGGTGGCTTCAATGGTACATTGCTCATAAATGATGTCACAGACTTTATGCCATGAAGAGCTACAGTACTTCAAGTGAAGGAAATTTGTACTGTATTGGTAGTTATCTACCTTAAAACAATATGAGCTTGTATTTATCATAACAACTTAATTGGAATTGATAATGTTACTGGAGTTCAAATAATGACAATTAACACAGTGGGAAAGAAGAGAAAAAAAAGAAATTATGGGAGGATACTAGATGATGAAAAATCCCATGATAAAATTTCCAAGTTAAGTGATACTAATAAAGAAATGTTGTTTTCTTTTGAAAATTCCAATTTGTTTACAAAAGAGGCAAGTGCCTGAAAACATACACTATCAAATAATTTGTTATTAGGAAGAAAGTTAAAAAGGTACGTGTACATGTAGTCATGTACTGTACATGTACCTACTTTGCAAATATAAAATTAATACATGTAACATAAAAAACAAGAATTGATTACTACATGTAAAATGAACTATCAGTACAATAGGTAACCTGCATTGCTGCTGTTATCACCAAAAGCAGTCCACCACTTTCTTCAATACATCTTTTACACCTAAAATGACTGTCCAATGACAGTCCAATAGAACTTGATCCTTCACTAGAAGAGAATTCCGAAAGCAATGTTAACAAAAAGCAGCAACCAATCTATACAATATAGCAGAATTACAATAAATATATATTGCCAAAAAACATACAAGAATAAATTTAAGACTTGTGCAATTTCATGAAAAAATTATAAGGCTAACTTACACGTATGTTTTTAAGGAACAATCATGTATATTTGATGTTTAAGTACTACATGTACATCAACCATAATTATACACATACATATTCATGGCCAGTACCTTACCTCAACATTTAATAAATTGCAAAGAGACTGACAAATATTGTGAATATAGGACTTTAGTACAATTCCTCCATTATCTTCTAATGCTCCTCGCTTTAATACAATAGAAATCAAAACAAAAATCTGTTTTTGAACGTAATCAGACAAACTAAATGAAAATAAAATAAAAATTCAACCCTGAAATCTTGACAAACCTGCTATCATTAGCTACAACAAAATCAAAAAGTTGCTTCAACATTATATGTCTTTCTTCTGGTTGAATTTGAGTCCATTCTCGCATAAAAGCTTCTTTCATAGTGACAGTAGCTTGGAATTTAACATAAGATGAACAATTGCTACCTAAAATGTATGTACAAGTACCATGAAATCAAGAATGTCAGAAAAATTTATAACACAGAATCAGAGCACTTCTTTATATAACGAAAATAATGTCAATGAAAAAAATTTTAAACCAGTGATACTAAGCCAGTAACACATGAATGCCACAACCACACTTTATAGGAAAATTAGATGACTCATACTAATACAAGTTTATTGAAAGACATTCTGTTGTTGAATGATGTTTCTAATAAGACGTACATGTACATGTACATGTACATGTATAAGTACAACATAAGTACTACATGTAACCTGTAGAAATACATGTATGTCTTTTACAAATAATTTCATCATTTATGTAGAATAAGAAGTGCCAAAGTTTTAAGTTTAAAAAAGTATATCCTTTTGAGTGCAACATACATGTATGTAGTGTATATGTAGATTGTACAAGTAACAGCAATGTAATATTTTATTCTTGATACAGTCACAGATACACGTACATGTATAACACTTCAAGACGAAATGTTACATGTAAATTAACATGACAGTTCTTTGAAAGCATTCAATAGTTAATAATATATTTATTTGATGGGCTCTTCCATGACATAAATATTTGACCAAATCAAAGGACAACAGAAAACTGCTGTTTGAAAATGACTAACAATAAAATTGAGTTTGAGTAGTTCTAATCAAAGCTCCATGATTGTTTCAAACTTAAGCTGATAGCACTTGATGGTTATAACTTGGCAAAATATTCTAGTAGACTAAGAAAAAAAGGCACTCTAAGAGAACTGACAGATATTGCCATTTTCACCATAGGTTATTTGCCAGGCTGCCAGCTATTGTGTGCATGAATTTGCAATCCATCTACTGAAAATAATATAGTAGACTCAGTATTTTGATCAATAAAACTCATCCATACGCTCTGACACTCTTAAAAAATGAAAATAATAACTACAAATAAAAACAATCAATTTTAAAGAAATTTTTGAATGACAGAATGTTGTACTTCAGTAGCCATGTACATGTATGTACTACACAGGCAGTACTGTATGGGGCATTATGCTTGCAGGATGCAAATTTCGCAGATAAAGTAACTTCGCGAAAATAAAATCCAGGAATTTCAATTTAGTACAGTACCCGCTGACACAAGTGGTAGTATTGCCAAAATTAAAACCCCCAAATTCAAATTTTAGTAGATTTCACAAAATTTGCATCCCGTGAACATTATGCCCTATACGATATTTGATTTCATGTGGCAACCCTTAACAGTTTCCAAGATATAATGTACATGCATAATCGAGGATTCAGTGACAGTTGTTGTAGACATCATACACGTACATATGTACATGTACATGTACAAGACCAAAAACAACTACATCGTACCTGGCTACTGGGAGATTTCTTTGCCTAAGACTCAACCTATCAAAATTCTTTTTACAATAATTTACTACTGAATTTTGGCTCCTTTAGCCACTTGAAGGTCATGTCTTGGCTGTCAAATGTCAATGCCTCTGAGATCCTCTTTTCGCAAATGCAGGAAGTATAGAAGTACAACTTTTATGAAGCACAAAAGGATATGATTGTCCATGTTTGGATATTGTTGGTAAGGCAATAATTTGTTAAATTTTTACTTTTTCTAAATAAAAAGATTTTTCTTTTTTCTCACATACGTGTACTTCACATCTTTGCAGAATATTTTTTGACATTTATGTGAACATATATCTTATGATCAGCAAAGGGTACTACAAACATCTTTTTGTAAAAAACTACATTAATATGCAATAAAAAATTGGAGGACACACCTCATAAAAGGATACATTGTGCATGTATATCACACTAGGAAGCCCTTGTGGTTACAACATGTACATGCAGTTTTTCTAGGATATACAGTGTACTGCATAGCTTTGTCCTGCTAGGTGAGACTAAGCCATACCCCGCTAAAAATATAAAATCCTTGAGGCGAGAAGTAACAGCTCACGAGTATCATTAATTTTGCAATTATCCCAGTTATGGTATCTGCCAACACACAAGAACTGTGGCCATCATGCAGAGGTAGACAATGCAAAACATTTTGAATCAACACCAATACCAAGTACTTTAAGTATCAATATTTATGGTATTGAGTACTGAATGAGTAGTCTGCTACAGCGCCTGTGCGAATACATGTAGGTTATAATTAGTTTTTAATATCCTACTGATGACGCACATGCATCAAAGGTACCGCGTGCTCTATAACCCAGCAAAACCACAGCAGTGATGTAAGTCACCCATAACAATGCTTTAACCCACCCACAATGATGTTATAATCCACACACAATGTTATCAAATATTCTTATTATTATTTGAAAAAACAATTATTCTTGATGGTCTGGTGTAGGATTATATGCACCTTGATTGATACACATTAATTGTGCACCCATTGAGAGATGCTGATCCAAAAAAGAAAGTAGGTACAATGGACCAGGATGAGCATTCAAGGTTTAATACCTGAGAGCTAGTGGTAACAGTAGAATTGTGTTCCTTCACACTTTGTGGAACTATACGTAGAGCTTTGCATGCTTCTTCTTTCTACCTTTTTTGATATGCGCTCATACTTTTTAAAATGATCCAGTGATCTGTGACCTGTTCAGTCTTGTATTACTTTTTCAGATATTCCTGCCTGGAACAATTCAGTTGCCGTATAAGCCCTTAGAGAGTGATTACTTTTGTTCCCTTCAATACCTGTTTCAAAACACATGGCTTTCAACATTTTACTCAAGATATTTTTACCAATAGGCACACTAGACTTTAGCAGCACTATTCTGGTTAGGACGTAGATAAAATATATCCAAATCAGCAGCATTTGGAGGCAGCTTGGCTAGATAGGTATCCAATAAATGGACATGACAACGCTCTCCAGTCTCCATATCCTTGTACTGATGAACAACCATGTTGGGAACATTGAGCTGATTAAAACCACCTGCCCTATTTTAGAACAGTTTTCTGTGTAAGTGTATGATATTTTCCTTTCAGGCGAGATGTTCCTCTTAATCTGGGAAAGCGTAAGAGATCGGTGCTCAGTACCACCACGTGACGCAAAATTTTTGCCATTCAAAAAAAGATAGCATTAAGTAGCACTTTAGGATGGGATGAATCTAGCACTTTAGATGCCCACAGCTTTTCCTCATCTTCCTTAGTTAAAGCCTCAGTTGCAGAACTCTCACTCCCTACGCCATTATTACGAAGCTCTCAGAAATAAGTGTCACAAGTCTTGAATAGCTTTCTAAAGTCTGGATCGTCATGATTGAATATATTCAGCACACACTCTTTATTCTCTTTCGTACAGGGATATAATCCACATAACAAATACAATGTCTTAAGAGGATAACTGGTGCCATCTTTCTTTCTCATACCTAAAATATATCTCTGTAGCCATAGAGAAAGCTCAGTGGGGTTGTTACTCAATAATACATCATCAGGGCATGGCTCCTCAGGATGACAACCGTTATAAGAGGTTTTCCATTCTTTACACAGCCCACTTTGTGCTGACGGAGTATTTTTGGGTACAAACCCCCTTGATACGTCTGTAAGGATATCTTTGGGCTCAAAAATTGCTCTCCGTCCTCTAACGCCGCATCTATCTCTCCCTCTAGCTCTGGTACTGTACTGTTTCAGTCTCTTCTTCGGGCACTGTTTTGACCACTTCATCATCTGAAATCTTACTTTTTAATCTCTTACTGACAGGCTCACAATCAGTAGCTTCAGCCATTATTCAATTCCAGCATGTGCCATGTGGTATTCTGCGTATGCATGTGTGCAGAGCCTTTGATGTGCATCATCCTGACATAAGTAACTTATAACATGTATCTAATATATAGTCCCCTCCCCCTCGGGCGCACGCGCCCTCGGGATCAGTAACAGTACATTAGATACATTACTCCTAGCCATGTTATACATGTAAGTATTACTAACAAAATTCAAGGAGATGATCTGCCATGTAATTACAAAAGGGTGTAGACATTATTATGATGTAAAGTAGGTGTGGTGTGGCGTGGTCACTACTCCAACCAAGATACCAGGATTTGGTGCAGTATTTCCTTGGTATTGGAAAAATGGGTCTTTAGGTATTGTACCATGCACGTCAACCCTCATGTTTGATGCAAGCAGCAAGTGCTTTCTGTATCCTGGATATGGTAGTCAGTAGTCACTACATTTTGAAGCTACAAACTATTCTAGATGCAAGAAAAGTGTCAATTAAAAACCCACATAGGAAGTATAGTGCAATAGTCTTGTTCAACATGCATGCAGTGACAGAGAGTCAATAAATGGTTGTTGTGGCTCTCCAAGACGTTTTAAGTCTACAAAATAATTATCCTGCTAATTGCTACTACAGTGAAGAACAGTTGTTATGATTGGCTCTCATTGACTGGGGTAAGAACAAAAAACATACTTTTGGTAAAAAAGCTCTACTTTACACGTCAGCCATCGGAAGTCTGCATAACTCTGAGTCAAGATGGCTCTATTCAATACTATACGTTTGATACATGTATATGATATCACAGACTAATTCTTGCTATAAGAGTCAAGAAGTACGACTCTAAATCCTTAAAAACACAAACTGAATCAAGGCAATTTTAGCCACAAAAAATACAAACAAGGATGCTAACCTTCGACGAATTTGCTATTCCATACCATTGTGAGGGCTCCCATGCATCAGCTACAGCTCACACATGTATGGCAGTCAAATTGTGAATAAGCTACTATAGACCAGTTGGTGCTAAGTATATTCATAGAATTTTGAGTATATTCATTGTGATACCATAAATAAAGTAAAATTATCCTACCGCCATTTTGGAGTCTTAGTTACTAAGAGTAGAATGGGAGAAAGTAATATCTTTGCTTCTATATCTTCTAGTGGCACTTATTAAAGTCCATGAGCCAACTCTAGGCACTGGATGATGGTCAGTAAGCAGTAGCAATATTGCTGTATCGAATAAATACAGCAGTTTTTGGAGAATAAGCTCTTTTCACAATCGCTCCATAGACATCCATTGGAAGTAGGACTCCAAAATGGCAGAAGGAAAATTTTACTTTATTAACGGTATCACAATGAATATACTTAAAATTCTATGAATATACTTAGCACCAGCTGGTCTATAAACTTCTTAAAATCTTTGCTTAAATGATGATTTATAAAGCTTCTTCACACTAAAGGTACATGTACTGTACACATTAACCCTGATACCATCATACAAAAATGATGTACCTTAAAGTCACTATTATTTGGGAGTAATAATTTTATTGCGTTTCTTGCGAGTGGCTTTAAAATCGAAAAAAATAGTTCTTGCATTTATTAATAATTTAGATTTATTAATAGTTATTAATTGAAAAAACAAAATTGCAAAAATTAATACATGCAAAATCAATAAAATTAACAAATTGCAAATATTTGTCTACTTAAAAATAAGTAACTTTAAGTACGATACAGTAAGTATAAATACATGTACATGTACATGTATATACATAGACTAAAAATTACATGTGTACATATAAACTACATTGGACATGTATGGTAAAAAAAACTTTGAAATGGCTAGGAAGTGGCAATATTCTCACTAGGCTGCTCCTAGCAGAAACCTGAAAGTACAGTGATATTAGTGGTGCAGGGACAGACCATTTTCGAGCAGTGATCACCATAATGGCTTTAAAAAGTGTCAACTTATTACTTTGAGAGCAGGCTACATGTAAATTTTGTCAATGTACCTTTTTTCTAATAATTTTTTTTTCAAATGTATGCATAATAAATACCTAAAATACATTGACAAAGAGAATACGGTCTTGGAATACTTCTCAATTGATTAAAACAAATTTCAGCCTCTTCTCGTTTGCTAGCAGGAACTCCCATATCAGAAGCCTAAAAGAAAATAATTCAAGATGATGCCATCTCTCTCAAAACTTACAAAGAGAAATCTTGCAGCTTCCTCCAACTGTGCAATAACAACAGACTCATCTGCCATTTTCACAATGGGTGGAGCTGCTGCCTGCTGGATGGAGGCTGAACCAAATTAATTTACATGACAGTGGAATATCTTATGTGTGTAATCATAGTAATCATGTAAAGAGCCTAAAAGAGGCTGTATTGCAAGTTTGCTGGTAGAGTTTGTTTCGAAAGTCTGCATTTTTCAAGCATGCACCAATTTAAAATTAATATTTTATTTTACAGCTCACGTTCTTTGTGGGGAAGCATAAAGATTTTTTATCTTGATTTTTGGGACACTTGTATGGCTTAAACATTCCTGCATAACAAAAATTGTACTTGGAGCTATAAAATAGGCAGAACCCTTATTTAACCAAGCAAAACATCACTGCAGTTGAACATTAGGGCACCACACAAAACTAGTGGTTGTAGAATCTATACCTTGCATGTGCTACATCAGCATAGGTAAAATATTTAGATGCACAGAAAATAATTATAATGATAAAAGAATCATTTTGCTTACAATGGTATGCATGGTACTACTGGGACTCTGAACTATTACTACACAAACTCATCCATTGTATGGCTGTACTGACTTCATCAAAAATGTTGTATACATTAGAGATTTAAATTAAGGTTCATTTCCCCTCAAAAGAGCAAATCATTCTCAAGATAAACTTTGTTCAATGTTCCGGTACATGTGATAATTCTTCAAATGGTATAGAAACTCAGAAAGCTGAGGCTCTGAGCATGCTGGTAAATTTAATCTGTAATACTCAAGATCAAATGGCACTATAGACTCTATATCACAGATAAAACTGATGTGTTACATTAGCATGGAAATTTGTCCCTAATTTTGACAAGTGCATACTGAGTTTTAAAACATCACAAGTGTTATATTCCCTTTTTAACATGCTTTTCTGTGTTCCAATAACATACTTATGTGCTAAAATAACATGATTTTTGCGTGCTATAAATTGGGACATAAAATATGTGTCATTTAAACACACCAGTTTTATCACTATCTGCATCGGGTTGAAGTTACTCTTATATGGAAGACAATATGGTCCCACTAAATCATTCCTAAAATCATTCTAAGTACAAAGATTGAAATTATGGTGGCAGACACAATTGATGATCTCAATTCAGTTTTTAACTTATTCCAATGGAAGGAAGCTAGATTTATATCAGGAGATCCTATAGTCTCACCCCACCCCTTTAAGACTAGGGATCCTAACAATAGTTAGAAATTAGGATTCATAGTCAGAATGACGATTTAAAAGTACTAGCACTTTTCACCAATACATAACTATTAATTGCACATGAAATTAGTACCGTGATGACAGAAAAGTAATGTGAAGTTAAAGTGGAGGTAAGATTTAATTGAGATCAAAGTTAATAAAAATACTTTAAAACTAGTATCAAGTTACATTGAGTTACTGAAATAACTACTTCCTTCTTTTCTTAGGCTTATTATTTGACATGTGAGGCGCATCCATGGTTTTGCCATCCTTGTGATTAGACCTAGGAACTGGCATTTCATTTGGGTCCTCTCCAGCTGTAGCAGGGTGAGTAATAATAGACACTAGAGCCAAAACCTGTATAATAGCTCCAATAACAAGTCCATAAGACATCAAGCATTCAAAATCCATTTCTGTCAAATTTTCTGAAAATTTTCAGCTAATTTGGGCGGGGGCTCATGTCACAGGGCGTGTCTGTCCCTCCTTCATTCCACATGAATCAACATGGCGTCTCACGTGGAATCGTGGAAACAGCTAGCTGTTGATTACAAGGTTTATGATCCCGTTATGGTTGGAAGTATTGATGGAACTGATTCTAGACCCCATGATAGAGCTATATATAGGGCACGTGACACAAAGTGTAAGTGAACATTATAGACCATTAGTGTTTCTACTGTAATTTTATTCTTCCTCCCTGTCTGTCTATTATATGTTGCACTGTAAAGTTAAATAAATGAAAATAAAATAAATAAATTAATAATTTCAATCATTTTATTAATTATACAAGTAAAAAGAAATAAAGAACATTAAAAATGGGAAAACAGTAGGATTGAATTGGGAAAAAAGTAAAGAGACAAGATAAGTCCTTGCAAACTGATGTGGCAAGAAATCCTACACCACTGCATGAAGAATATTATTTAATTGCATTGTAATTATCCACACAAAGTCACAGACTGCTCAGTACTATAGAGTCTAGTCTGGGCCCGCCCCTTCGCCGAGAGGAGGGAAGGGTCTGGTGACACTGCTACAGAATTTGTTGCAGAAAGGAATGCAATAATTAGCAGTTATTTTAGTTATTAAGTATTATAATCACATGACTGTCACGTGATAACCTTTCTATTTGTAGCTTTTCTTGACTTGTAAGTCTCCTTAAGTGAGGGGAGCTACAGTAGTAATAGGCGAGAAACAATCTATCAAAATTCTAGTTAATTGAAGGACAAAATCTGCGGGATAAAAAACAGAAATCTTTATACTTTTTAACCAAATTTCACATGAGATATCTTTTTATTCTTCTGCTACTTCCTCTACAGTTACTTTCTGTTCCTTTGCCAGCATTCATCATATTTATAGCAGGTTTAACAGTTATACATCCATTTTGAATAGGTCATGTGACTGAATTACTTCCATGTGAGTGCAATAATCTGATTGGTGCGCAAGATTCACTGCACAGTGCAACAAATTCTGTAGCAGTGTCACCAGACCCTTCCCTCATTGCAGAAGGGACGTGACCAGACTATATAGAGTCATAACACACTATGAAACTTCTATCTTTTATGCAGTGGTGTAAGACTTCTTGCCACACCAGTTTGCAAGTACTTGTCTTATCTCTTTACTTTTGTCCCAATTCAATCCTACTGTTTACCCATTTTTAATGTGTTTTTTTACTTACTTGTTTCTCTTCTTCTTTCTTAAAATACATTCTGTTGTAATTTTGTTTTGTGGCAGAGCCTCTAGATGACTTTCCTTAATTGGGCAGCAAATTAACCCAATAATCCCTAGATCCAATGTCAAATTTCTCCCAGAAACTCCTTAAAATTTCCCTGTTTTTGTAAATATTCCCTTAAAATTTCAAAATTTTAAGAGAAAATTTTAAACTTAAAAGGTAAAATTTAAAATTTTGTATGAGAAAATTTTTAATCTTTAAGATCTAATTTTTAAAATTTTAATTAAATTTTTTGAAATGTCTGCCATTTTGAATTGTTCAGCTACAAATTTTATCATGTTTTGATAAAATGAAATTTATGTGCAATCATTAACATCGTGGTTGCATGGGAATATAATTGAAATGACTCATAAATTTAATTATAGAGCCAAGTTAGTCAAAATTTCCCTAGATTCCAGCATTTAAAAAATTTTCTCCCTAGTTCTAAATGGACCATTTTGTCCCTAGATCCAGGGAAATTTCCCTAAAGGCTAAATAAAGAGGCACTTTTTTTTGTGGTCAGGTTAATTATATGCATACTTGTCACATGTGCATAAATTAAAATGGCATCACCATGTGATGATTCCTCCAGGAATTTCTACCAACTTTTTATTTATACTTTCTTCTTTTTAACCTGCATGTTGGTGCACACCCTTGACTCAAGCACAGTTGAACTATGTATAAACCAACTTGAGAGGTTGTCTCTATAAGAAGTCAACTGAACTGATAGAAGAAAGATGAAAGAAAGAAGAAAAAATCTAAAGAATTTTGCAGAAATTTGAATTTGGGCCTATTCTCTAGAAAACTTCTGCTACATTGCAGTCCACTTTAAAGATACCAAGAGAATTGCTTAGTGAAGGAGAGCTCATTTAAACCTTTTATAAGGCTGTGCAACATAAGGTAAAAGAGTTACAAGCGTTTAAAAATTATAATAACAGCCACCATCTTGAAAAACCAGCCTTAGTCCTACATATAGGCTACTGCCTATATAATGAAAAACATTAAAAATGGAAAAGTAGTAGGATTGAATTGGAAAATAGTGAAGAAACAAGAGGATATCTGCTAACTGATGTGATAAGAAATCCTACACCACTGCGTTATCTGCATGAAGGATACTAGAAACAGTGTAAAACATTAAAGGGCTCATCCTCGTAGATTATTAGCTGGAAAAAAGCAGAATCCCTACTTTATGTTGCTGCTGAAAAACTCCTGACTTTTTTTACATGAAGCCTTGCTATACTGACTTTAAAATAGCCATAAGATATAAAATGGCTGGCCAGTTTAGTGCAGTCAGTGACAACTGACAAAGGTGACATATGTTTGATTTTCACAGTTATCTCAATAAAAAGGAGTTTCATAGTTACTTACAGTAATTGCACCTGTAACCTTTTCAAGCAGTTGGAGAAGCCTTTAGACGGTGTTTTTGCCTTATCTTGTTGCTAGCATGAAAAGTTGTGCAGTGGTGTAGGATTTCCTATCACACCAGTTTGCAAGTACCCTCTTGTTTTTTTACTTTTTCCAATTAAACCCTACTACATTTCCATTTTTAATGTTTTTTTATTTACTTGTTTCCATTTTAAAAAATTAATAAATGACCTTCTGTTATGATTCTGTAGTCAGGTTAATTATATTTATGCTGATCATGTGAGCATAAGTTAAGATGGTATCAAACCTCAAACCCACACAATGTCTGCAGCTGGATTATTTCTCCCATTTTGTTCTCTGTTCTCGCTTCTTTTTGAAACAACCGTATAGCTAGAAAATTTGGTTGAGTAAAACTTTGGTGAATTTGGTGAATTGAGGTCCATTCGCCAATTTTTTAGTCTCCAATTTGATAGAGTTCCATATAAGCATACGCAGAGTTAAAATTTTGCCAAAATTTTAACCTCCAAACCTCTTTTGAAGTCAATTCGCCAAATTTTAGCACTCCAAATTTTCTAGCTGTATGGTACCTTTGTTGTCCTTGACCCAAGCACAAAGGAATGATGTAAAAGGCAACTTGAGTGGTTCTCAGTTTAGAAGATTATCTGGTGAATAGAAGAAGATGAAAGAAAGAAGGAAAATTCTGAATAATTTTCAGAAATTTGATTTAGGCCTGTTCTGCGAAAAAGCTCTTGCTA